CTGACTACAGGAAGCCCCTGCCCCGGGCTTCCTGGAATCAGCCGCTGATCAGTTTCAGCAGCAGCTGACTTGGGGATGCCTGGGGTTCTTAAGTTGAATCTGTATGTAAGTCAGAACTGGTGTCCAGATTCAGCCACTGTTGAAACTGATCAGTTTCAGCAGCGGCTGAATCTGGACGCCAGTTCCGACTTACATACAGATTCAACTTAAGAACAAACCTACAGTCCCTATCTTGTACGTAACCCGGGGACTGCCTGTAATTAAGGAAGAGCATCAGCCAACCATATGACGCATCAGTGCAGATCAGAAGAATTACCACTGCAGATCTCCCGGTACATGAATTTGTAATAATAATCTAGGAGGCTGAGGTCAAAGTTTTATATACTTGCAGTTAATTGCCTTTTAGAGGAAGTGATAATGAAAAGCCTCTGTAAAGACTTCTTGCAGGTGGGATCCTGAAAATTTATCAAGAATATAGGATGTCTCTCTAGATTAAAAGTAAACCCCAAAATTTTCACTAATCCACTACTTCTACAGTTCAGTACTGAGCCAACTCCCTATTTTATTACATTAAACAAGCTCTGAATGATTCACTGGAAAAGGCATAGAAGCAGGAAATTCAGCTAGATACAATGAGTTCAAATTTTTTTTATCTGAATTGTAATCTATATTAAAAGACTGAATTAAAATAGTTGCAAGAACCACATTTTTCCCCGACCATGTTCCAGTTTGATTTTATAAACACTTAACTTTGTAGTGCAGACCAAGCCTAAGTCTACACAGAGCATCTTATATTGCTAGTCTCCCGCTGATGTAAGCATCCTGTTACGCTGAGATACTATCACATCCCCAAGTGGCACAGAGCCACAGTCCATGTATTTAGGTTTGACACAGTGAAAGTGTGGACACTACATTACTTATAGGAATCCTAACTGTCCTTCGGTAGCTGTCCTATAACCCCACAAACTGACCACTCTATTCTGGATTTCCTGAGACTGTGGGGAGAAGGGTACGTGCGCAAACAGCTTCAAACCAGCTGTTGAAACATTAATATCTACCAGAACATTGCTCAAGGAATGCAAAAGAAGGGATCAATAGCAGGGGCATGTGAAAGCTATAGCAGGCATACCAGGAGGCCAGGAGGACCAACAACCGACCTGGTGCCAAGCTGCAGATCTGCCCCTTTTTCAAAGAGATGCAGGCCATACCTGGCAGAGACATTCTTCCCCACCGTGGATACCTCTGAGGAGCCAGAGTAGCTGTTCATATCAGGGGACTGAGAGAAGGAGGAAGGATTGATAGTGGAGGATGAGGAAGAAGAAGAGTAAGGGACTGGAAATCAGGGGATCCAGTTGTGCAGCAGGCCAGGATCTGTTTCTGACTCCACTGCAGTCCAGCCAGTCAAGTACAAGTGAGCCTGATGCAGGAGTAAGCATGTAGATAAATTTTCAAGTACAGGAATGGCACTCCTAAAGTAGCAGAACATATCTTCTGACTATTTATTTATTTACAACAGAAGAGTTAGTGGTACAACCAAAAGATGTGGAGTTGCTATCTATTTTTCACACCCTTCTATAGCAAGGGTCAGGGGAAGAATATGATCATGTGGAGTAGTTTATATATGTACACAGGGATATCCCTTGAATCTTCCTGAGAGATCTGTATGAAAATCTCAGTAGTACTGTGCAATCCCCTGCCAAAAGTTTCTAGTGGCAGTGCCTTATTCTTCCACCATAGGGAACCATACATTAACACTTAGTAATAACTTCCACAGATACCATTGCAGTACACAGGCCCAGGTAGCTTCAGGACACCATCAGCAGCTGTCCTCTCTCTGCCTTTGTTACCCTCAAGAGTGAGATATCAGCTACAATCACCACTGCCTATGGAAACCTGCAGGAGTGTGTACCCTATGCTTACAACACTCACAACAATAGCGCAGAGCTGTGCAGAGTCCAGGTTCTGTCCAAGATGGCAAAAAGCGAGGACAGCCATGGAGGTTTGTGAGATTTTGAAAAAGAAGCGAAAAAGCAAAGGATATGTATAATATTATGGGATGGCGACAGTAGTGAACTGTGAAGTTGATCCCATGCTCCCCATTACTCTTGCATGATTTGTTTCAGGTCCATAATGCATTGCCAAAATTTCCTTAAAAAAAAAAGTGGTGAATTGCACAGTGGGATAACTATGCATGGTGCACAGCACTGTGCACGGATACAAGCACTTCTATTGAGTGGGTACACCACTGAACCAGGAAGCCAAGTATGCAGGCACACAAGTGACAGCTGTATGCCAAAGTACCTTGGGTCAACATAAGTTTATAGTATAGACATGCTCTTAAACAAAATATTTATCTTCCTGTTGTGTGATCAAAAGGAAAATCCATCAAAGAAATAGACTAAGAGGACACTTTCTTCTATGCCACCTCAAGTATTTGATTAATATCTCAGAGGTGTTATGAAGATGAAAATTAATGATTATGAGAAGCTCAAATAATAAGATGAGTAAAGCTATGCAAGAATCTACACAGATTTTAGTTATATTCGATTTTAAAATAACTATTATTGAAAAATAAATTATTTAAAAAAATAGAGAGGTGAGGTAAAAATATTTTAAAATAAATACATTAAAAAAAAAAGATGCCTCCTCTAGAAAGTAAAACAAAAGACAATCATTTTAAAGGCCTGATCTATCTCCCATCAAAGTTAACTGAAAGACTGGTAATTTCATTGAGAGATAATCAGTTTCAAACCTTATCATAAGAGAAAACAATATCTTTCTATATGTATTTGAAAACAACCCCATTAAGAAAGAAAAAAGCAGGGTGGGAGGAGCTAAAGAAGGAAGAGTCCCATGTTGTTCAGCTTAGAATCACAATGTAAAATTGAGCACATGAAAATTTCAGGTGAATCCAGAGAAACATTTTTCAATAGCAAAACATCAGAACAGTTTCCCAAAGAGAAATTCTTGAAGGTCAATTTTTTGAGCTATTCTGAAGGGGACAGGGTGAATAATCCTGTAGGGACATATACAGAAGGGAATAATCCTATTTGGTTGACCTAAATGGATGAAGTAGGGAAGGGTTAAGCAATAATTTTTGATTGGGGGGGTGGGAGAGGGAAGGGACAACTCCAAGAATTTGGTAAGTGGTCAAGGGCTACATTCCTCTGTGTTAATAGAGGAAGTGCAGAGTCTGGGATGGAGTTTGGGTGAATGAGGGGATTATGACCTGGGACAGGGAATTGGGGTGCAGGAGGAGATGCAGGATCTGGGAGAGGGTATAGGTGCACGAGAGGATTCTGGGAGAGGTGTGTAGGAGGAGATTCACAATCTGGGAAAGGGGTTGTGACCCAGGGCAGGAGTACAGGAGGGGAAACAGAGTTGGGGTGCAGGAGGAAGGGGGATGCCAGCCGCAGGCTCCCACATTCTCTCTAACTTTTTTCCATCCATGAGCAAAATAAGTTTTGTTATGAGCACCAAGGCAGTGGTTTTCAAACTACAGGTAGCAACCCAATACTGGGTCATGGAATGTCTGGCACTGGGTATCATTACTGCAGGGTGATCAGGTGACCAGAGGGAGTGCTAAGGCAGGCTACTTGCCTGTTGTGGCACCTTAGACTGCGCTATACCCTAGAACCATGGTCACCAACCTGTTGATCGCGATCGACTACTAGATCGCTAGGCGTTCCGGGTCCTCCAATTCTCCCCACCCCCAAGAAGCCCCGCTACCTACCTCCAGTGACAATGGAGGTGGTGGCGGCTTCCCACTGGGTGGACGGAAGTCCTGAGCTGCGCGTCACTTCCGGGAGTTCCGGAAATGCACTGGTTGCTTCCTCGCCCCAGGTCTGTGGCATGACGGAAGCTTACCGGGGGAGTCCCCAGAGGCATGCGCTGGGACTTCCCTTCTCTGTGGGAGGGAGGGGAGTTGGCCCGGGAGGGGGCATGCGACAGGGGCTTCCCTGATCCGTGGAAGGCATGCGCCAGCCCCGCAGGAGGCATGCGACAGGGCTTCCCTCCTCTGCGGGGGGTAGGGGAAGGGAGGAAGAGGAGAAGGGAGTCCTGGGAGGAGGCGGGTGCAGGGCACCCTGTCCCCTGCCCTCTCCTCCCCCATCTCCTGTCCCGTTTCCTCCACTGGCACCCTGTCCCCTGCTGCAGAACCCTGTCCTCTGCCTTCCCGGCACCCTGTCCCTTCTCTTCTGCCCCCAGCCGCAGAACCCTGTCTTCACTGGTGTCCCCTGCTGCAGAACCCTGTCCTCTGCCTTCCCGGCACCCTGTCCCTTCTCTTCTGCCCCCAGCCGCAGAACCCTGTCTTCACTGGCACCCTGTCCTCTGCCTCAGCACCCACTAGCACCTTTCCCCAGTACCATGTCCCCTGCTCCCACCAGCACAGTTAGGGCCACATTAGTGAGGCTTGGGGTGTTTTGGAGGAGTTATTTTTTTGCATCTCACTTATGTGGCACCAACTGACTTCTCTGTGGGTCAGTGACCTCTTACTCAAAACAGGTTCCCCAGCCTTCTCATAAATAAAGACAATGCAGAAACTTTGCGTTTGAAATAGTATTTTATTTAAAAATGAAGCCTGGCCAACAAACCCCCTATTGGGGCCAAGCCCCCATCTGGCCACAGCATCATAACACTCCTGAACCCCTCTTTCCCCCAGACCCTAGATCTGAGCCTATCATACACTGGAACCCCTTGCCCTGAGCCCCTCACATACACTAACCCAAATTTCTGTACCCTCACATCCACAAGTCTGTGGCTTGCTTAGTACCGCAACCCTCCATCTGACCCCAACACTGCCCAGCCTGGAGCCTCCTCCCCGAGCCAGCGTGCCCTTCTCCACCTCTTCCTGCATCCAGATTTCCTCTCAGAGCTTATCTGACCCCAACACTGCCTGGCCTGGAGCCCCCTCCCCAAGCCAGCGTGCCCTTTTCCACCTCTTCCTGCATCCAGATTTCCTCTCAGAGCTTGCACCTCTCATCCCTTCCCACACCCCAATCCCTCATTCCCACCCCAGAGCCTACACATCCTGTCTCAACCCAGCAAGGGCACACCTAGACTGCAGCAGTTTTTCCAGGATTCCAGAGATATCCCAGAAAAATTCTTCTGCATCCAGGGATGTGTTTGTTCTTCCACTTTCTTAGTGGAAGAGCAAACATGCTCTTTCAGTAACCCCTGTATTCCTCTTTCCACGAGGAATAAGGGGGCTTCCAAAAGAAGGGGTTTTTCTTATATTTGGACAAGTCTAGACAGGTTAAATGTTGGAAAAACCTCTTCCTACAGAAGAATTGAAAAAAAAAAAAAGCAACAGTATAAGGGTTGGGGAAAGCAAGTGATGGAGAGAAAGAGAACAGAGAGGGTGGGGCTTCAAGGAAGGGGTGGGACTTCAAGGAAGGGGTGGGGTCTTGAGGGAAGGATGGGGCGGTAGATCTTGGCTTGTTCTGTCATTTAAAAAGTGATCTTGGGTGTAAAAAGATTGGAGACCACTGCCCTAGAAGCAGCCAGCAACTTTTGCAAACATCTGCAAGAAAATAAGGTGACAGGTAAACAGCCAGCATGAATTTGTAAAGAACAAATCATGCAAAAACAATCTGATAGCTTTCTTTGATAGTATAACAAGTCTTGTGGATAAGGGAGAAGCGGTGGATGTGGTATACCTAGACTTTAGTAAGGCATTTGATACGGTCTTGTATGATCTTATAAAAAACTAAGCAAATACAGCTTAGATGTGGCTACTATAAGGTGGGTGCACAACTGGCTGGATAATAACTACTCTCTGAGAATAGTTAACAGCTCACAATCATGCTGGAACGGCATAACAAGTGGGGTTCCGCAGGAGTCTGTTTTAAGGCTGGTTCTGTTCAATATCTTCGTTAGCTATTTAGATATTGGCATAGAGAGTATGCTTATTAAGTTTGCAGATATTACCAAGCTGGGAAGGGTAGCAACTGATTTGGAGGACAGGGTCATCATTCAAAATGATCAGGACATACTGGAGAAATGGTCCGAGGTAAACAGGATGAAGTTTAATAAGCACAAATGCAAGTACTCCACGTAGGAAGGAACAATCAGTTTCACACATACAGAATGGGCAGAGCTCGCTGAGCTGTGACGAGCTCGGGAGCTGTGGCGAGCTCTGCTCGCCAGCCACACTGTCTGGCATTCTGCGCATGCGCAGATCGCCCGAACCTGGCTCTTCTGCCATGGGCGAGTAGATTACAAGGAGTACTGCAGAAAGGAAGCTAGGGGTCATAGTGGAGAACAAGTGAAACATGAATCAACAGCATGACACTGCTGCAAAAAAATCAAACATGATTCTGAGATGCATTAACAGGAATATTGTGAAACTATTGTGAAATAGTCTTACCTCTTGTATGATATAGGCCAGAGATCTTCCCAAATTCATTGCCAGAGTGGCTCTTTTAGGAAAAACTTCCAATCTCTATTTTAAAATTGCTAGTGATGAAGAATCCATCATGACCATCGGTAAATTGTTCCACACTCGCTGAAAGAAGTACATGAGCTATGAGGGAAGACTGAAAGAATTGGGTTTGTTTAGTTTAGAAAAGAAAAGACAGAGGGGGACATGATAGCAGTTTTCAAGTACCTAAAAGGGTGGTAAAAGGAGGGAGAAAAATTGTTCTCCTTGGCCTGAGGATAGGACAAGAAACAATGGGCTTAAACTGCAACAAGGGAGGTTTAGGTTGGAAATTAGGAAACACTTCCTAACCATCAGGGTGATTAAACAGTGGAATAAATTGCCTAGGGAAGTTGTAAAATCTCCATCTCTGGAGATATTTAAGATCAGGTTAGATAAACATCTATCAGGGATGGTCTAGATGGTGGTTGGTCCTGCCATAAGGGCAGAGGTCTTGACTCAATGACCTCAAGGCCCCTTCCAGTTCTAGTGTTCTATGATGCTATGGTTCTAACAGGCCTGGCTCTGGGGGAGGGGAGAGCACATAGGGCTCCGCACACTAGTTCTGCACTCCCATTGGTGGGGAACCTTTTGCTGGCTGCTTCTGAGCTGCAGCATGGTCTGAAGTGGCAGGAAAGGCAGGAAGCCTGCCTGAGCACCCCCACTGCACCACTGACAGGAAACTGCTCAAATTAAGCCCCTCCTGCCACAGTCCTGACACCCCCAAAGCTGGAGCCCCCTCCTACACTTTAAAGCTCTCATCCTCAGCCCCTCTGGAGCCCATACTCTAGTCAAATTATGTTGGGTTGTGGGTATCAACGATTTTCCTCAACCTCCAAGGCACATCCAGATGTGTGCCACTAGTAGAAAAACATGCTGCCAACTGTGAGGACTCTGCTAACCAGCTGGGTGGCATGTGAATCTCTCCTGGATGGACACCTGAGAACTTAGCTTACAGGGAACAATGGCAGGCTCTGGCTGGGATCCACTTATCTGGATCTGCAAGACTAGATTCCATTTACTTCTACAGATTGCTTAAATTCAGTTACTCTATGACATGGTTCCCAAACTGGGGGGGTGTCTCCCCCTGGGAGGGGGGGGTGAAGAAATTCAAGGGGTGGCATGAGGGCCCCCTCAAGTTTTGCTGCTATTTTTGTTTCTCATCCCCTATCAGTTCCTTCCCCCGCCCCCCCCAACAAGTTTTGCTGCTATTTTTGGAGGGGGAGTGAGGGTTCCTCAAAAATCAAAAAGGGGGCATGATGCTAAAAAGTTTGGGAACCACTGCTCTAGGACATATCTAATGCATACACCAAGTATCCAAAAATGTTAAGAGACAAACATTTTAATATGAAATCAAAAGCTTTTTTCGTTTAACTATCTGTTTTTCTAAAAAAAGCTTTAGAATATATACACACACGATACTTACTGCAATGTTTACTGTCTGCTTCTTTCTCAACTTTTTGGGGTCTATCTGTGCCACAACAACATCTGGACATTGTGCTGCTTCAATCCTTCAAACAGAAATAAAAGGTTATATTTGAAATCCCTGAGCTGTATCCTGTAAAACCAGAAACAGTCACAGGTTGAGTTTTCATGAAGAGATACTGACCAAATTCAAAACACATGCACAATTCTTAAGTTATCAATGAGAATCTATCAAAGAAAGAAATGTTAAAAGCAAAAATATTTATTTGGAAGGGTTTTAAAACGTTTTATGAGTTTACAATGTAGACTACGAATGGTTGATAAGTGCCCCCATTTTACAGATACACAGGAGCGGCCTGAGGCAGGCTGCGGCAGCTGTTGCCCCAGGCGGAATGTGTGATTGGCGCCCCTGCCTACAGGGCTGTCAATGGACTGACGTCATCATCAGCCACCCCACTGAAGGCGGCGCCCTAGGCAATAGCTGAGTCCGCCTATAGTCACGGGCCACCCCTGCAGATACAAAACTGCTTAAAGTGAGCCCATGTGTGAGACAGCCATAAAAAAAATCCAGGGCTTCTGATTTCCAGTTTTGTGCTTTAGTTACAAGACCACTTTCCATCATAATCATAAGTAAAGATCACTATAATTTGCAGTTGTAGTTGGTAAAATAACATTCTGTGCAAAGCAATTTGTACCGACTACACCACTAGTCGATGAGGACCGCTATGCAGAACCACAGCAGGGGTAGCTCCAGAAGATGGTTCGAGCAAGGAGTGAGCAGTCCCGGCTCTTGCCATCTCTGGGAGCCACCCACGCTGCAGCTCTGCATTTTAAATATAGTAAGAGATGCAGGGCTGGGCTCTTTCTACATTTCAAATTTAGAGGTGCAGCGTCCCAGACCAACGCAAGCAAGAACTGCACCATGTATCGACTACACGATTAGTCAGAGAACCACAGTTTAACATCCTTAGACGTTAGAGACAAGGCAGCTAAAGGGTTTGGTAAATGGGTTAGGCATAGACGCAGAACCTGGCTGTCTCAATTCCCTGAACAGCACTTATTTCTTAAGGATATCAAGGCCACACTGCACTGTAAACCTGAGCTCAATTAGGACTCACAGGACCCCGGTGCTAGGACCGGCAGGTCTGAGCCGGAGCCCTAGTGCCATTCAGGACCAACCCCTATGATTGTGCACAAGAGCTACAGCTCAAGCCTAGGTCTGCAAAGGTCTGATCAGGGGCCGTACCCAGGTCCAGGGCGGACCCACAGGCGGGATCTGGAAACAGAGGAGACCCAGGCTGACAGAGCAAGGCAGGGGGCGGGGCGGCCCACAAGCGGGGTCTGGGGTCAGCCCCGC